CACTGCAGTGGTCAAAAGAGGTTCACTCACTCACGTGCTACAACTCCCACAGTTGAACACAGATTTGTATGAAGAGACAAAACCTTTATGGCTTCTACAGTAAATATTTATGGAGATGCAATATTTTGAAAACAAAATACTCAACAGGATTCAAAGTTTTCTGGTATTAAATTATACTGTTATACCAATGAGTTGTTCTGCTCCAAAATGGAAGTCTAGCAAGCAGATATCAACCAGTGAAAGCTTCTAAGAAGTCAGAAAAAGAAAGAGCAGCTGCTGTTGGGAGGAATAACACATTGTGATTCTTTTGACTAATAGAGATCCATTTGGGACTCTGCTTTTATGTCTCCAGTACAAGCATGACCACAGTTCAGTTCTTGATTTATCAATTTATCAAACACTTATTTCAGAGCCAAGTGTCTTTTCCCAGAGCTGAGAGGTCTTGGTTAAGATGTATAAACCCCTCATCAATTATATACTTCCTCCCTTGTGTTCATGAACACAACAACTCAAACTGAACCTCTATGTGCATTAATACATGAGCACACAGAACCATTAACACATTGCAAATGAAGGCAGTATTGACTGGCTTGAACATTTCCATCCACATGCAAAGTCAAGATGCCAGTAATATGGGTTAGCAACTGATAGGTTCATTCGCATCACTTCTGTCCCTTTGATGGCCCTATATGTTTAGTATGGAAGTGAGAGACTGTAATGTGAATAATCACACACACACACACACACAGATGTTGGTCCAATAAAAGATATTACATCTCCTAGCATGTCCACCTTAATTCAAGCAGCAGTTACTTCAATAGCATTCCCTTTCTTCTTTGGCATTAAACCTCTCTGTTCCTACAGTATACTGTAGTTTCTATTCACTTTATAGTTCTGACACACTAATGAAATTTAAAATGATCTATATACTGAGGTCCACTAAGCAGCATCCATTATCCACTCAGTGAATACCAGAGCCAGATTACAGGCAGTGAATGGTATTCATAGCACAGACTATGAAAGTACCCACTGGTATTCATCAAGTGATAAATAGTCTGGGGTACACCTGACTAGTTAAATTATTTCAGGGCTGTTTTGACACATTTTCAACAATGACATGATGTCAAATGTGATTAAGAAAACCCAACAGCCAGTTCAAGTGCAGGTTTCTCTAAAGCAATACAAAACAATTTCCTAGCAACCTGATTTGTACTGACATTTACATTCCTTGGGAAGATTTCACTTGTCTCAGAACACTGTAGGATTGGCAGTCAAAATCTACCAATTTTAGAAACTGAGCTACCTGTAAAAAAAAATGTTCAATGCAAATTTTTCATGAGGGAATTTATCATTGTTGGATGCGCTCTTATCTGCTGTCTGCCTGAGTCTTAGCTACACTTCACAGGCATCTATGCACAATCAGTGCATGCCAACATGTCTGACTTACACTCTATCTGCCAAGAACAACACCACTAGGAAAAAAATGCACAAAGGCCCTGTTCTAATATAGAACCTTCCACCATTTGTTCCCTAGTGAATTTTGTGTTAGATGTCTATTTATACTGCAAGTTCCTAGGCCCCAGGCCATGGGCCTAATCCTACAAACCTCTACTCAAGGCGTTTATTTATAAGTCATTGTGTATACACTGCAATAGGTTAGGCCACAGTGCAATAATTAGCATTTATTTAATTATAGCAATCATATTGCAGTATTTCAGGTCACATTGCAATAGCCTGGGGCACACTCATGTGAGTTATCTTTGCTTGACAATAAGTGTTTGCAGACTTGGACACCATGGTTTTCCTGTGTTGGGTACACTACTGGGCAGACCACTGCCACTTTACAAATAATAAATGCTAATATTAAGCATAGGGGAGCAGGAAAAAAAGGCTAAACTTACATTTGTCTGTGATTTGTATGCATAAGAATGTATCTTCAAGCAGCAGTTAATGATTAATTATTTGTTAATTAATGTATCAAAGCTTATGCTGTAAGCCAATTCCCCTGTGAATGAGATTCATATCCTTATTCTTCATAATAATAGATATTTTAAAAAGCCTCTTCAAACAAGAACCATGTGAAACTTGCCAATTTCACTTCCCAACAGTTTGTAAGAACATTTTCTTAGATTTCGATCCATTTGGGTTTGCATTCCTGACATTAGGGGTTCAAAAATCTCAAATCAACTCTCAATCCAAAATTGCCAGGTTTCTCTCACATCAGCACTGAAAGAATGTGAACCACATGAATCTCATGTGATTTAAACCCCAGACCACAAATGAGCTCAGGTTTTCTTGTGATTGGGCCTAAATTCACACACATGATCTATGAACCCCAGTAAACCTGGTATAAGTTTGTAATAAAACCTGAAATGGGGGAGTTTTTCTTGGTGGTTCTTTGGTTTCTCTGAAAATATTTCACAGGATTTTGCTGATAACACTGTAGGACAGCTTTAAACTTTTTTGGAAAACAGCAGCTGTAAGATGCATGATTGGCATTGTAGGCATGTAAATTGGTCATTCTTTAAGGAACACAACTCATTTAAACCAATCAGATTGAAGGATGCATTCCATAAGTCTGTACGTGACATTAATTCATAGAAAGTTGGCATGGAGAGATGGTGATTTGCACAGCTGTCATTAGTTAATACAATCCCGTTAATTCCATTAACCATCTCCATAGGAGGTAGGAGGAAGGTACAGTCAGGGACATCTTCCCAGCCCTAAGTTAAATTAAATTCAGCAAGTTTAACAAATCTGCTGTGAGGAGTGCAGACTTTTCCCTCAAATCAGGGACAGTATGGGCAGTCCACTAACAGCCAGATGAAGTAGCAAAGTAAGTTTAATTTCAAGATGCAAAAGGCTCGTACACTTATAATTTATAAAGTGGAAAAAGTAACAGCAACAAACAATCTTTAGACAATCAGGTCAAACATGTATGAAAATGGAAATTCAGGGTCAATGGCTTAATGCACTATTGCATTCAACCATCCCTCTCTCAGAGCTCTTATCCCAAGGGTTCATATTCACCTGCAGATTCAGACTCAAAAAAAAAAACTTATCTGAATTTGTTTTCCTGATTGTTGAATTCATTTTAGATCAGTTAGGAAAAGGACAAAGAATAGGATTTCTCCCTTTCTGTCTCTCTTTTGGTGGTTATTTCTCCTAAAAAAAGTCAGCTTAGATCCAGTGTCCAATGTGCAGTGAAGTTCTGTTTGTAACCAATGTTCCAGTTGGGGTGACTGATTCTATGTTTGTTTATTATTACGTGAGTCAATAGAACCACACGGGGGGGCAGGGTGGAGAGACAATGTAGCACCATTGAGAAAGCTTGCGAAATGAAGCGATTTTCAAAAGATTGACTAGAAGTCAAACTTAGAACAGTTTTGCTTGAAAGCTGACTCAAAATGAAAAATCGACTTCTATTTTCACCCAGACACAACAGTGAAGGCTGGCCAGTGGGGAACATTCATTGGCCATCAGCAGTGGAACCAAGTGGTGGTGGGAGTCACAGCTCACGCAAGCCAATTAAAGAACATTTGGAGAATGATAAGAAGAGCATTAAATGCCCCAACAACCAATAAGAGTGTTTGTTTTCTCCAAGGACATCCATTATCTAAAAGAGTCCCTGATTAGCTGGCATGTCCAAGAAACACCAGCTGTTCTCCCTGGGATTTTCTCCAAGGCAACTGACAAAGCTATCAATGGATTTGATATTTCTAACCTTTTGCAGGGAGGCAAAGGGGGGCGGGGAGTCTTAACTAATTAATCTAGAGTTTGCTCCCCCAACATGATGGAGACCATGTTGCCCATGAATGTGTATCCAGAGGCACCTGGAAGAAAATTCATTAGAAGAACATTTTTAAAAGGAAAAGAAAGTGATGAGCAGAATGAAAAGGTCATGCTGAAAAAACGTAAAGTAGGAGCAGCTGAAACATGTAAATGAATGGCATTGTTACTGCCAAGGCCTGCAGTGTGGAATAGGTGTTAAATATTCCAATTATGACTGCAGTAGGTTTGTATTATTGTTATAATTGGTTTTGAGTCAGCTTCCAAATGAATCAGTGGAGAAAAGATAATGCCTTTTTTAAAATATTTTTGAATTTATCCATAATGATATAGGTATTCCATTCTTTGTTATCTTTTCTCACGCCTCCTTTTGTCCCAGTATATCACTTTCTTTTCTTCTTCTAATTGTGGAGCTTTGCCGAGCATCATTCACATGTCTCCAAAACAATGAGAGCAAGATATCTTTTGTCTTGTGTAAAGAGTTTTGAATAAGATAGGCATAGTGGGCTGTTTTTATTCATTTCCCCATACATGCAGCTCATATTTTGGATCCTGCATTTGAAAAAGTAGTGAATGGCCCTGCTCAGTATTCTTGAATCCTATGATCACATTTTTAGTCTTAAATCTGGGTTCTTATGTAGCCCCTTTCACATAAGGATGTTAAAGTGTATTACAATCATCCGCTAATGAAATCTCCTGAACGGTTATATCCATTTCACAGGTAGGGAAATAGGGGGGTACAGGGTGATGTTCCCAATGTCACAAAATGAGTAAGTGGCAGAACCAGAAATAGAACACTGGGGTATTGCAAGAGCCCCACTTAGTCCAATATTGGCTTTATGACTAAGGATCGAATCCAGCTCACAGAGAAGTCAAAGGAATTGATTCCATTTGCTTCTATGGGATTTGGATTAGAATCTATATACTTCAAAGTGTGGTCAGAAAAGATGCATCTTCCTACCTAACAGACCTGCTATTTGCAAAACAGACTGTGATCACTGTTACAGCTGCTTCCTTCTTTTGTCAATTTTAGAGACACTTTTAATATGAGAGATGGCACATCAGATAAAATCACATTGTACCATATTATTTAATGCTGTCCCAAAGTTCAGCTTTATCTGTACTATATAAATTCGGTGGCCAGGATTCATATATGACCTCTTATCGCAGGTTTAAAAGAGATGAGGATGAGATTGTTATTAAACACTTACCCCATCCAATCCCATAGTAGTATAAATGCTTGCTCTCTTCTGACCCAAACACTTTGATCACCATGCTGTAGAGATGAAATCCTTCCACCAGCATCCAAGCAAAAGCACTCAGGAAGAAGAAATGAAGGAGAATGGCCAAGATTTTGCAAGGCACCTACCATATGAAGCAAAAAAAAAAAAAAAAAAAAATTAGTCAAAATTCTTGGTGAATTTTTTCCACAAACAGTTTGGGTTTTTTGTGTTTTCACAGTAAACAAAAAAACACACTAGAGTAAAAGGATAGTAAAGAAAAATAATAAAGCATTAGAGAGACAGCTCAAAGTGACACATCTAAGGAGCCTATGCTGTAATCAGAAAAACTAGTTGCCAAACCCATTTGTACCAGATGGACTTAAGAGAACCAAACCACAGGCCTGTTTCTGCCTCTTCCCCGATAACATACCAGTCATTCCCGCTGAAGTCAATGAGAGTTAGAGGCACTCGAGTGCAGAATCAACTCCCCTGGTGAGGCAGTTCTAGAGACAACTGACTATGAGATAAATAGGAGATGTGGAAGCAAGGGGTGACATGACTTGTGGAAGGAGGAGGAGAAGCTGAATTTCTCCAAGGGTTTAGTGAAAGTCAGTGCATGTGGCTTTCAGGAGAAACCTCAACAAAGTGACAGATTTAACTCAGGTCCAGGTTTTTAAAAGCTATTTAGGTGTTTTGCCGTGTGAAGCATTACAACACCTAACTGGTTTAGGAGCCTAAGTTTTATTTTCAAACATGATTTAGGCACTTAGGAGCCCAAATCCCACTGACTATCCTAAATCGGTTAGGCACTGCAATGCTAAGCACAGCAAGGCCTAAACACCTTTAAAACTCTGGGCCTTAGTTTCTAACTTTATCTTGCCAGTGAGTCCCTCCTTAGTCTGCTGTTCCTCATATTTAAAATAGGACATTTGGACTCAAACTTATTATATTTCCAGTTGTGTCTGTACTATTAGCAATTCAGCAAGTCTCACAAGATTCTCCATTCACTATATTACATGCTAAAAAGTGTCAGAATTGGCTTATAATGAGCCATAGTTGGGTCATGAGTTATAAGTGACCTATGGTAGTCATCTAGCGTGTATTACACACTTGCCTGTCCAACAGCAACAATTTGCCAGAGTAAGTTACAGTGCCAGTGTTCAAAGCCATATTTGCCGGAAATGGGGCCTAGTGGACAAGAAGGAGGACAAGACGTCATGGCTACTGAGTTCTTTCAGACACTCCTTGATGGTGTGTGTAGCAGAGTGAGCCAGAGAAATTCTGGGGAAAGGAAAAGTGACGACCATAGAGAAGGGTCCAGGGGAGGCTGCATTTTTGTGAATAATATAACGTTTAGAGCCCAGTTGGACACAGTAAATAGTCTCACAGGCCAACATGGCAGCCAGAAAGTAGGAGAGTCCAACTTACGTAAAGAGAAATAGTAATTTCAGTTTTATCTATAAAATGCTTTGAAGATAAATGAATTCTTGACGAAGAAAGAAATGCCAGCGCTAGGAGTATGTAGCTGAACTAGAAACATTCTTCTTAGGTCGTACTCAGCTGAATTAGACAATGTTCATGAGCGTCATACAGAATACAGGCAATATGAGCATGGGCTTTAATTGTCAACTTTCCCTAAGGGGCTGACACCGTAACTGTTATCGCTGATTATTCCTCAAAGAGATACTTTTTGTGCCAAATCCCATAACTGCCTGTCTTATAAAAACAGCAAAACCTAATCCCTTGCTCTTCCCCACTCCTCATGTATGCACACAGCCCATTGCTCTTCCACCATTAATTGCTTTGCAAGGCTGTCCCATCATACCTAGTTTCTCTCGTTACATGGCCATCTGATAGATGTGGCTGCAGATTATTTACTGCAGGACACACTTGTTTCGTCTGCTTTAGGTTAAGGTATATTTTAGGCCTCCTTCTTGGAATAAATCCCAGATACATCTCCATATTGCATCTTTTCCAGCACACTGATGATGTCTGGATTGCTTTGCTTTGACAACGTTACTCAAAAAGCCCTTTAGACACCTACTGCATTTCACAGGGGCCTTTGCTAGTTTACAACCCATTTAAGTGACAAGACAAAAGAGCAGTTATTATTTTCTTTCCTAGTGTCCTTCCTTCACCTGGACAAAGCACACAGTCATGCTTCAATTGCCTGGATGCCTATGTGCGGAAATAACGTTGCCAATGGGAACCAGTCTGCTCTCTCCACTCCTTTCAAATGTGGATAAGCAGCTCCCTTTGTTGTATTAGCTTAGCTGCCATGTTGTGGCATTTCACCCTTTATGTGGGTGTGTAGAGACTTGATAATGTAATGAGAGTTGAACTCTCCTAGCCCTATCTGAGCTGCATTCTAGAGGTTCTACACTGGAGCAGGGACATAGTTCCTGTTTTTCTGATATACCGATAACAAATCCATAAAAACTCCACTGACTGCAACAAAATAACGGTGAATTTAACGGGTGTGAGATTGGTGTCTGACCCACTATTCTTTCAAGACGCCCAAATCAGTATACAAACAAACAATACCACTAATACATAAGGAATTCTGAAATGTTTTGGTGACATTGGACCACAACTGGATCTGTTCATTGATGAAACCTACAAAAAAAATCCTGGTTAAGTTCTTTATCATAATATCAGAGGCCAAGCAATAACATGGAGTCCATTTAAATTCTACCTGATTTACACAAGAAAGCTGCCCCCACCCCCAAAAGAAAATAAATGCAACAGAAAACCAACCTACAATAGAGGCTAGATCTGTAAAATGTGAGCTATCCATTTGCTGCCCAGCCAACCAGATGTGTCAGAAACAGCAAGTGGCTGAGCGAAGCAAAACCAATGTGGAAGCAAAGGAAATTAAGACTGACGCAATCCATGGCTGCAGTATGAATACAGGTTCGTTTGGGCAACTTGTCTGAATCCAGCTTGTGATGGTGCTTCTAACTTGAGTGGCAGTTTTGTTACAGTACCAAAGAAAAACAACCAAAAAACCCACCACCATGAAAATGTGCTGTTTCTATATACTGCTATACTCCTCATTTGATCTTCAGTTTAGGTAGATGCCCGTAGGACGGTAGCCTAAGTAAAGGTAGTTGTTTTTTCCTCGTCTTGTGGACTCGCTTTATCCTTTCTTTCCTGTGTCTGTGGTTCAGTACTGCTCAGAGGAGCACAGAGTGAAAAACAGCTCAATATGCCACCTGCAGAACTTCAAACAATTGTTGATACACACTGGGTTTTGCCAGTAAAACATAAGGCTATTTACTGCCTCTAGGTCACTGTAGACTTCATTTTATTTTGTGTAAATACATGTGCTTCTGCCTTACAAACATGCAGGTCTCTGGATGCTGCTGGATGCTGCTTCTTCTTCTTTTTTTTTTTTTTTTGTAGCATGTGAAAACATAAATTTTTAATTTTTTAAAAAAATCCACTCTGGCTGCCACTGTTTGGATGGCAAAGATGCTTGATGTGCCTGTCAGTAGGAGAAAATATGGTATGTGCGGAAGTTATCATCTCTAAGAAAATGGCCCAGGTGACTTTAGGATTAATTCCGTACTGAGAGCTCTAGAACATATAATGCCACTCTATCCCTATTGTTTAAATCTTAGGGATTAAATTTTCTACAAGGAGCTAAATACATTTAAGGGAAAGAGTTCCTCTGTTTTATGGTTATAATGGAATTGACTAAACTTGTGCCCACCCTACGAAATTAATGTAGTAGAAATGGCAAATGGACAAGTAATGTAACTGAGATCTGCTTGATTGGCACAAACACTGGGCTACATGCAGCTCTCTTTGGTATCTAACTGAAGCACCCAGATTCCATGGTGGGTTAGAGAGATCCTGAATAAAATCCAAGGGCAGTGGTAATTTCAGGTATTGCTGCGTCATCTGTTGACATAATGCCACTCCCAGGCCTTTGCTGTACTTAGTTTGGCTACATGGACCTAACTGACACTTTATTTGAAAATATAAGAACATAAAAATATTCAAACCAATGGTCCATCTATCGCAGTATCCTGTCTTCTGACAGTGGCCAGTGCCAGATGTTTCAAAAGGAATGAACAGAACAGGGCAATTTTGGGTGATTCCCCTAATATCCTGTCCCAGCTTCTTGGATTTGAAGGGTGAGAGACACCATTGTGTTGCATATAGGATTTATAGAAATTTTTTTGCCTTAACTAGATAGGCCCATCTCTAGCAGAAAGAGAAGATGAAGCAAACCACAGCACCGAGAGTAAATTCTCTCTCTCTTGTGCAGTATCCTCCAGCCCATGCAATTAAAATAGCAATTAAAGGTAATCAGTTTTAAAATTAGTAACCGCAGAATACTCAGTAAGTAAAAGCTTTCAAGGACACATGAATAATAAGAAGGATGAATTGTAACACCAAGGATCTTCCATCCAAACACAGCAACAAACGAAAACAATAATAATCATGTAGTTAATACTTACAAGGAGCTTTTCATCCATAGCTCTTAAAGATCTTTATAATGATGCGTACATATAATTATCCTTATTTTACTGGTGGGGAAACTGAAGCCCAGAGAGGCTACATACATTGGCTCAGGTCTCAGAGAAAGTAAATGGCAAAACCAGGAACAAATCCAGGCCTTAATTCATATGGTATATATGACATGCTGTTTCCTGTACTTTTAAATGGAGAAAAGACCCCTAACTGTTGTGGAGGCAGTGGCCATTTTGTGCTTGGCTGCAGCCATCTATAGAGGAGACAAGCACACTGTGCTCTCTTAGGGAGACTTTTTTCCTTGCTTTGTTGCTTTCTTAATATAAAATAAATATAATCTGGGTGACAGAATGAAAATGGCTGATATTTGTGCATGGAATAACATACCGTGTACTTGAAAGTTTTTACTTACTGCATATTCTGCTGTTATTAATTTTAAAATTGATTATTCTTAATTGCTATTTTAATTGTATGAGCTGGATGAAGAAAAAGAATAAGACCCCATTACTATAGCTCATCCATTAGATCGTAGGCGCCGACTGCCCCCTCTAGACTCACAAAAGGGGAAATTAAATAAATGTTGAAAAAAATTGTTGCAGGCGTTGAAAGGAAGAAAGGAATTATCTTGAAATTGGTTCACATCAATTCGCGCCTTTAATTTCCCACTATCTAGAGCCCTGTCTAACTAAAATAGGTGTGCTGGGAATACCTGAAGCTAAAAATACAAAGGAGAAAAGGAAAGTAAACTTGAGTAACAGTTTGACAGGCTGATTTCTCCCTTGCCCTAGATTATGTTTACATCAGGGCAAAGTGAGTGTACAGTACTACCCTTCTGATTTGGAAGCACTTCATGCCCATTTAAATGACGGCACAAAGCCCAGAGCATTGGAGAATCAAAGCCATAGGATGCAAATTTCCTCCTGCACCTACAGAGCTTCCGCTTAGAGACTGTCTGTAGGCAGAGTTGCTCCACTTTACTTAAGGGGTGATATTAAAGCAGTTCAGTTAAACCAGCATTGTTCTAATTCTGGTTTAAAGCAGGCTTAGTTCAGTTTAGCTCAAGTCAACTTGGAGAAGGTTTAAGCTAAACTGAAATACAGAACTCTTAAAATGAAATTAGTGTCTACACAGGAGTTTGCATCGGTTTCACTGAATAAGCTTAACTAAACGATCCGCGTATGCGTGCAGACAGGGCCACAGTCCCATAAGAGGCCAAGAGCTTGGTGAACATGGTCAGCTTTGGCAACAGCCACCCATAAAGGAGGAGCCTTCACCAGAAAGGCAACTGAGAATTCTTAGCATTTTAAAAGACTAGGTGGGGAGAGCAGGTGAGGAGCCAAAGGGCTTTTGTTCAAAACCCTGTATCAGTGGAAATTGCAAGAGAGAGACCATGACAATGAGATCATCTTTTTTGTCAATGTTGTTTTATTCCCTATATGTATTTTATTTCCCCCAAGACTGTCCTCTAGGTGAAGTTTTAGCAGCCTTCCTGATCTATTGAGCATTATTTTAGTGTGAGACTTCCCTTGTTTTCTATTTCAGATTGTATCACTGTTGCTGTTTTCTGCAGTCTGCATTTTATTTTCCATCTAAAGTTAAACCATTCGCTGTCATTTTCTCCCCAGCACCTTATCATGTTCACTCAGGACCTGCTAAGGTTTCAGCTGATAGGAAATTTGGGGTGAATTGTTCATTTTTCTTTCATGTTTTTATGTCAACCTTCACCCCTGAGCTGTGCACGTCAGGGACTGACACATGGGTGGAAAGACAAATGCCATGGCTCCACAAATGACACTGCTCCTGAAAATCATCATCATCATCTAATGCAAGGGTGCCAAGACATGAGAAACACAGGGCCATATTGGCAGATGTGGTGAGAGAAGGGCAGCATGGACCACTAGTGAGAAAAGTATAGCCCATGGACTATCCTTCCTTCCTTCCCTCCCACGGGGGGAGGGATAGCTTAGTGGTTTGAGCATTTGGCCTGCTAAACCCAGGGTTCTGAGTTCAATCCTTGAAGGGGCCATTTAGGGATTTCAGCTAAAAATTGGGGATTGGTCCTGCTTTGAGCAGGGGGTTGGACTAGATGACCTCTGAGGTCCCTTCCAACCCTGAGATTCTATGATGACTCCAGATGGTGTGATATTAGAAATCAGGATTCCCTATATTCTATTCCTGGCTCTGCTATTGATTCACTGGGTGATCTTCTACTACTTTTTGCCCTCTCTGTGTTTCAGATCACTCTTCTGTAAAATGAAAATAAGGATACCCAGTTTTACAAAGTGCTTTTAGATCCTCAGATGAAAACTATGTAAATGCCAGATATTAACAACTTACCAGAAGCCCACAGGATGCCAGTTGATTTGAATACAAATTTACCTATGTTTTGTGTTGCCCGAATGAAAAGCACACAACTCTCATATGTGCTTGTACTGAAAACAGAAAGAATGACAGATGAATAAGAACCTGCATGTTGGTTGTCAAAAGCAGTATGGTACAGCCGCTGATCTCCAAAGCAGCCAAGTTTTGTTCTATTAAAAATCTGAAGTGCTGTGGAACATTATCTAAAAATAAGATGTTGTTTTCTCCTGATGCAGGAGGGAATTTACATCTTAGGATCCTGTGTTAATTTTAAATAGCTTTTTTTAATAAAAGCCACAAACACAAGTACATCAATGGTTACAAATTACATGTTCTTCCTCTGGTGGGAAGCCAGATCTATTTGCTCATTACATCTGTTGTGGGTAACTTGGCACATCCCTATTATTCTTGTCTAACAAATGGTATCAGTCCTGATCCTGCAGCTGCTTGGAGCAAGGAACTTTTCATCTGCAGGATGTGTCCATAGACTGAAGACCAGTACATCTCAGAGTTCAATATGGCCCATAGTTTTAAATGAAAAATTAGTACATTGCTTTCAAAGTCTTATAAGAACTTCAAGGTGGGAGCGGTCCCTTCCTGAAAACAGGTACACACCTACAATTGGTCAATTCAGTCCATACTCACAAAGCAGCACCCTCAAGTAATGCTCTCTACCATCTCTGCCTGGCTAAGAAACTCTGTCCCATATTGGTAGACGATGACCTGGCTTTGGTTATGCACACCTTCATCACCTTCCACCTGAACTACAACAATGCTTATACCTGGGGCAAGGAGCCATCAGCCCTTAGGAAACTCCAGCCAGTGCAGAACCCTGCAGCGCGTCTCTTCAGCAGCATGGCTATCCCAAGCACATCAAACCTGTCTTCACTCTCTGCACTGGTTTTCCATAGAATACTGAATCAAGTTTAAGGTCTTGGTCCTTATCTTCAATTTGCTCAAATTGCCTAAGGCCATGACAGCCAAAAAATCATCTAAAACTCCAGGATAAGGACTGTGGTCAACAATTATGTTCCTTAGCACAACAGAACTTTCTGCCACACAAGTAAAGCTCATCTGTGCAGGAGACAGAGCTTTCTCAGGAGCTAGTCCAAGACTGAAGAACTTAACTGCCACAGGAACTAGGACCACCAGAAACCTCAACTCTTTCCACTCAAAATGCAAGGGGCACTTCTTCAATTTTCCTTGTCTAATGCAATATGCACATACTGGGAAAAAATCCTACCTATACAAAATGCTACAGCACATGCAATTTCCTCCCTGGAGAGAAAGGATGAACCAAACGTGATAGATGTTAGTTAGATTAATTAATGCACTAAGGTGTTTGGACACTATGGTGATGAGGGCAGTATGAGAATCTAGGTAGAATGGAACAGAATAGAAATAGTTTCATACATTTGATGATCAGCATCTCTGTTTTTATTTTTCAAATGCCAAGCACGGACGGATGCAGAGATAAAATAGTTTGGGGATATAAAAGCCTTTAACTTGCTTTGTCTTGTGCTGTGGGTTAGGATATTTGGCTTAGAGGTGTGTTTAAAATAAGAGAAAGGTTGTAATACACACAATCTTGCTCTTGGCATGCTATATTTACGTCCATGGAGGTGACTTGCCAAAAAAAAAAAAAAAAAAAAAAAGGCAAAATGTGCTTTTAAATACTTACCATTCCAGGGCTGAATTGAAAGCTGATGAGAAGCAGGATCTGAGCCACCAGGATGGCAAAGGACAGGTTGGCGTGGATGTGGTAGCGTTGATTACGCATGGTGCTGACAGATCTGGGCGAAGGAGGAAAGGCTTATGAGTAAAACAATATTCCAAGAAGCAGTAATACATTTGTGATTTATTTGCATGGGGTTATTTTTTATGATGCGGTTTTGAGTTCTTTCTTCCTTCAGGATTAAGCTGTGTTTAATCAGGTTCCCCAATATGCTGACACAACACTGAACAAACCAAAAGGATCGAGGTGCACATTAAGTAGCTCTACTAGTAATGGGTGGAAGAGTATTAATAAAGAGCCCGATCCTGCAAGGTGCTGAGCACTGAAGGATGTCAGTGGGCACAGAGGCAGATCAGCACCTTGCAGAAGACCCTCCACATCTTGCAGAATCCAGCCCAAATGACATCACAGCTTGATTTTAACTTGTATTCAACACAAGCATTTTATGCCTATTTCAGTAGGAATGAGTGACCCTAAAAAGGCTCAGATTTAGGTTTGACTTGGATAAGATTGCCAGCTTCGGGGCAGGGCGGGCCCTGTGTCTTTCTGTGTATCTGTGCAATACCTAGCTCAGTGGGGCCCTGACCCTGGTGAGGGTCACCTGGGCATTAACACAATACAAAAAGTCTGAACCTTTCTCTCTTAGCTCTAGAAAAGCAGGCTGAAAATCCTAAGAGAACAACACACTTTCTTAAAAGTTTTCTGGCACTCTTGCTTCGTTTCCCAGCCACAACCAGCAAGTGAAAAACCTCCACTTGTCTGAATATTTCAGATCCTCAACATAATTTGATTCTAAAAAGAGAAGAAGATTTAGGGACAGCAGATTTTCTTATTTAATCCAATGTCTGCCAGTCCCTATCTATCAGTTTTAACCCTTTCAGTAACTGGGCTGGATGTTTGGCATCATGAATGATAGTACTGTCCGTACACAAAGATAGGCACTTCCATCTTTCCTACACATCTCGCCGCATTGCCAACTGCTCATGATGATACATCATATAATGCCCGCCACCAGATGACACAATGACACAGACTAGGTGGAAAACAAGTACAGCTTTTTTGTCGTGTTGGCTTTTTTTGTCATCATTTTAGCCAACACCCATTTAGAATATCAAGGGTTTATTGAAGAGACATAGAGGTCTGTCTATCTATGTCCTACAAGTAATTCAAAGACACGTAGCGTTGCACAGTGCCAGTGTCTTTCTAGTTATGAACTTCATGTAGACATAAACTGAAGCATCACCAATCCAGAAAGCAAGTAAGGCTGCAGCACTCTTAGACACTGGCCATCTGTTGCCAGTGTGTACAGAAGCTAAGAACTCAACAGATTCCACTCTGCTTAGCTCACAGCCATTTAAAACTAGTTTGCAACATTTCCCTTCAGTTGTCCAATGAGGTCCTGTCCTCCAGTAAAAACTAATCAAATTATTTTAAGTGACATGGCATGGTTTCAAAGAAATGCTATGTATGAATAGTGTAACTCAGCCTTGTGACTATAAGCTGTGTCCAAGCTCTTCTTTTAAGTCTTCTGATGTTTCCCGTTTCCCTATAGGCTCCACAGCCCTGGTGTCTTCCTGGGAGCTGTATGAAGGAACATAGCTCCTTTCCTTCCCAAACCTTCTCCCATCCGCTGTTCTGCTCTCACAGTCAGAAGCAGTGAGGGATCCATGGAGTAGATCTCCCACTAGCAAAGGTGCTGACTGCCCAAGAACACACATGTAGCCTTTGGAGCCCTTTGGAAACTGGTGTTTCCATGTGTTATATTATCAAAGTGCCTCAGAGCTCCAGCTGGGCACAGTGCGTCCATGCATGGCCTCTCAGACCAGGAGACTTAGAAGGAATATCACAGTGTTGGAACAAACTAAACAAACATGACAACTAGTGTTTTGTTGTTGCTGTAGGGCAATAAACGCCTCATATAATCCAGCTTCTAAACCTGGTCCTCTTAACAGGATGCTCAGAAATTACACTTGAGTGAACAGATAAGCCCTTGAATGATTAGGAGGCAGTTGGTCTAGTGGCTAAGGCCCTGGACTGGGCTCAATGGACAAGGATTCTGTTCCCAGCTCTGCCACTGATTTGGTGTGTGACCTTGGGCAAGTCACTGCCTCTCTCTGTGCCTCTGTTTCCCTTCCCGTCCTTTGCCTTATCTATTTAGATTGTAAGCTCTTTGGGGCAAGGACTGTATCTTACTGTGTGTTTGTACAGCACCGAGCACAGTGGGCCCTGACTTCAGTTGATACTGTTGTTATACAAATAATAAACAATGATAAATGTCTATTTCATCCTCCTAACTGTCTCAAGAGCTCGATGGCAAAAGTCTTCCAGTGCAGAGAGACCACTAAAGGGCTTTCATATTACTAACAGGAGGCTGAAGTTGTGCAGAGGGCTTTAGCACAAGCACTGGAGTGAATTTCACTTGGTTTGTTGGATTTGTTTGTCCTACTAAGGGACTGTTTGAAAACGAGGCCAGCAGAGGTAGAGTAAGAGCTTGAAAACAAAGGTAGGATGATGTGATATAATTGTTTCAGTTCTGTGTGAAAAATATACGCCAAATTCATATAAATTAGAGATAGGAAAGATTTATTCCATCATCTTGCCCATTCCTATATATTATAGTCTACTGAGTATTTTATATTTCAGCGTCAATTCTAAAGTTCTACATAGAATCATAGGACTGGAAGGGACCTTGAGAGGTCGTCTAGTCCAGGTCCCTGCACTCATGGCAGGACTAAGTATTATCTAGACCATCTTTTAGGCAATAAAACTTGAGATCAGGGTCTAGGCTATAGATTCTTCAGAAGAGTAACAAGCAATTTGGGGATGTTGGGGTTTTCTTTAAATATGTAAATGGCATTTTAATCCATTTTCATTTTTAACAATTAGTTTCTGTGTTAATGTGGTTGTATCTGGTATCTTTCATAGCCAAATCATCTTACCGCTCTTCACAATTAACTACACTGGGCTTGATTTTCATCTCACTTACACAGATGTAAACCAGGAATAACTCCAGTGAAGTCAAAGGAGTTACACCAAAGTGAGTGAGTGGAGAATCAATCCCATCATTTCCATATTTTTATAATACTGCATTGTGCTAGTATCTACACGTGAGTGACTTATCTATGAATATGGAAATGCAGCATTAATTGCTACCTCCCCAAATTATATTCTGTATCCATCCCTGGGAGTCTCACTCTCTGTCTGAATTCTCACTGTGGTAAACAAATTGGCTGGCATGATGTGGGTCCTTTCTGAGTGCATCCTATTCTCATTTTCATCACCTTGGTTTTTGGTTTCTATACTGCAGTGTGCTTCCCATTGTATTTTGTTCACTGTCTAAGTCAAGGCTCAAGTAACACAACTCAGAAATTGCTTTGAGAAGTCTCTTGGATAATTTTTCGGGCTCAGTATAAGATTGACTCAACCTAATTTTAGGTACAAGTTAGTGGCAGCCACTTAAACTATGAAAGAAACATGGTAGAGCAGGCAAATCCAGCTGGAAAAAGAGTGACTACGCATTTCCCTACGTCTAGATGACGAAGCTCTTTGAAAAAATAATGGGTGGAATTCACCCCTGTGAAAAGGACCACGCAAGGCTCTGCATCAGTCCCCAAACTAGCGAGCTGTCTCAGCATCCTAGAGAGAAGCTGATTAACAATTATATTGTTACCCCCATAAAATTGCCTTTAGTAAGAGTGGGGAAGCGTCTCCACAGAAATAAGGCAGCAGCAAGCAACGATGTATTCACAGCGGACTGAAAGCAAAGAACATCGTAACCAAAAATTAAAATCTCTTCCCAGCCTGCTGTGAAATTCATTCCCATGCAGTGGGGCCAGCAGAAGTCCTTTGCAGCACTTCCATCACACTTAAACCCTGAGGGTAAAATCCTCGCCGGGGCCGCGGAAAAGGCGGGGGCCATGGCCCCATCACTTTTAAAAGCAGCCATAAGGGCGAGTGATGGCGGGGAGGGGACGGGACAGAGAGAAGCAAGCAGGGAGGTAGGGGGGCAGAGTCTTGGGGGAAAGAGGTGGCGCACGAGTGGGGCCTCGGGGGAAGGTGCAGCACAAAGGTGGGGGCTCAGGGAGAAGGGGCGGCACAAGGAGTAGGGCCATGGTTCAGCCGCTGGTGGCCCCCTGACTTTTAGGGAGCTTCCACCATTCCTTACCCTGGCCCCATTGAAGGCAACTGCAAAACTCAACTTGACCTCAGAAGGTGCAGTGTTTCACCGTGAGAGTTTTTGCCACAGCAGTCTCTTCTCCCTGGGCTTTCGGTGGCCGTTCTAATAACCCCTTCCCAAATGCCTGCAGCACAAGAGGATGAGCGACAAGAAGGAAGCATCGCCCCTGCATCCTGTCATGCCTCTTTATACAGCCTTGCTTCGGATGAACATAAAGGCAAACGTGAAGTCCCAGTCCTGCAGTCCTTACTCAGGCTAAACTCCCATCGACCTCAGTATCAGCCCTGATACCAGCCTCAAACCCTCTTTTCAAATTCTAAAACCAGAGCAAAACGAGATATATATTACAAGGATGTAAGTTGCTATTTAAAGACTTTCCCATTCTGGGAAATTAAACTGAGGAACAACCAACCGTTACAAATTTATGTGTAGAATCTAATTAAAGGGGCTTAGGGAATTAATAACCTTTGAACACCTAAAAATATCCAGTTCGGTGGTCTGAAATGAAAATGTTTGCATTAAACTGCCAGACTTTTAGGGTGATATTTGCTCAGCAGGTATACAGTTAAAATTACTCACGACAGTATAGCAAACGTGACCAGAGTGATAGTCAAACAGAAGATGGACAGGGAGCAGCCGATGTAAGTGATGGATGACAGCACCATCTGGTGTTGAGGAGTCAGCTGTGCAAAAAGGGAAAACAAAAATGTAATCTATTAATTGATTTAATATGCTAGAGAACCATATATTCTGGTGAAGGTCTGCCCACTCTATGTGGTAATTCAGGTAATGTGGCTTTGTTCTTCCTTAGACTGTAGCTCCACCCCAGTGCACACATCCCTATATCAGCAAGTTCTAGCAAGAGAAATGTATTGAACTATCTGAACCTAAAGTCAAACACCATGGGCTCTCAGATTTCTGTGTCATTTTGGTTCCTCTCTTGTATTTCCTACGACTGTATTTCCTCAGAAGAGGTTCAGTTCAATCTACATTGCTGTGATAGTGTCAACCCTGAGATTAGATAACGCAATAGAAAGCAGTTTATCCAGGCTGTACAAGCAAAGGCAAGGATTGTTTAGCTTTTTTAAAACTTTTATGACACTTTGCAAATGCTCTCACACTGCAATAACTTACATCGTATAAATGCTGTCAGTGCTCCGCAATAGTGAGACCTGACAAACCAAGGCAGCCAGTAAATCATGGCTGCTTACAGGTGGTTTCCAAACAATACTGTAATCTTTTTTATGTGTCGTATTTGTAGTGCCCATTAAAGAAGCCAGATTGACACTAGTGATATGAAGTCCTCCACAGAATCACAGAACAAGCTAAAGCATGGGCAGCAGAAATGTGAACCTCTCACATCACCCTCAACTCTGACCTGGAGGGACCTTCTGTAGGGGCAAAGGAGGAATTCAGTTTCCATAAGCACTGAATCCTTGGCCTCTCCATGTTAATCAGGGTGATCATTAAGGTGATGCATTCTGTGACATGGATATTCTCTAGTTCCTCAGGGCAGGGACTCTGGCTATGTCTACACTACGGACCTTACAGCGGCAAATCTGTATTGCTTCAGCTGCGCTATGCCGACAGGAGAGAGCTCTCCCGCCGGGATAATTAAACCACCCCCAATGAGTGGCAGTAGCTATGTCAGCGGGAGAGAATCTCCCACTGACAGCGCTGTCCACACCAGTGCTTTAGTTGGTGAAACTTATGTAGGTCAGGGGTGTGTTTTTTCACACCCCCTGTGACCAACAAAAGTTTTGCCAACACAAGTGCTAGGGTAGAACAAAGTCTCTGTTTCTGCTGTTGATCATAAATTATTCAGGAACAGTGTTCTCATTTTCCATGTAAAGTCCTCAGTTTGGAGGAAAAGTGACAAGAAAAGCCACATCTAGTTAAGGGAGCCAGGCACTATTAACATATAGTAAAGGATAGTTGGGCAGGGGACCATTTTCCCATCCTGCAAGAATTAAAAATAAAAAATTCCCCATCCTAAATCAGTTTAAAAGTCATAAACTCCACATCTAGATCCGGTCAAACAAAATGTTTTGTTTAGATAATTCAAAACATTTCATTTCAATTACGGTCTTTTCACTTTTTAAAAAACTAACAAATTAATTTATATTTCTAAACAAAAGGTTGTTTCAAACCAAAAAAAGTGAATTTGTCACTTGAAAAATGTAGAAATAGGGATGTTTTAATAAAATAAGGATGTTTTAATAATCTTGACACTTTTTTGGCATAATTTTTTTGATGTGGGAAATTTGTGGAAACCAATCCTTCACCATTAAAGGTTTCAGTTTCAACAAATTAGCATTTTCCAACAAAAAGCATTTTGACAAAAAATTTCTCACCAGCTTTAATAATCAGCTTTCCATTAAAAGTCCTTGGGGAGGGGGGGAAGGGGGAGATAAAATCCCGTATTCTTATGCAGAAGCAACCGTTCACTCTAAATAGAGTCAATAATGATGTATTTTGTAGATATACATTTTTTGTACTGTAATTATCCAACAACTGTACCAATTCATGAGCAGTAATTTTTACAGTGGCATGGATTCCACCCTTGAGGAAAGGCTGTGAAGCATTAAATGATACAGCAGCACAGGAGTGAGACAGACAACCGTTGCTATGATACTACAGTCCCCAGGAAATGTGATATGGCCTTTTCGTATTTTCTCTTTCAGCCAGAGACAAGACACATTTCTTGCCACTGACTTGGTTAGCTCCAAATATGGAGTCAAAATGTTGGACCACAGAGAGGAGTGCACATTAACCCTACAAAAACATCCCAACTGTGCCCCCTTGTGTGCCATCCCCCTCAGATTACTCCTGCAATACGAATAATTTGTGGGGGAGGTGGGCAAAGTTTAGGAGATGTTTCTGGATCAGGGATGTACATGCACAAAACATACAGACCATATCCCCTGATTGCTAGGACATTCATGTCTTTTGTTATGGGACACCTGCCGGTCCATAGGCTTTGTGGGAGCTAGGATTTTACCGTGTAAGTTTCAACTGGATAAACAGGACCACTGGGCTCAACATTTCCTAGTGGTTAAGAGCTCTGCTTTGGGCTCTCCATACCTCCAGCGAGACACCAACTGCCAGAAAATGCCCAACCCAGAGGTCACAGTTGCTCACCAGTGATTGAAATTTACACTACCATGGGATACTATTTGCATTAAGGAATGCAGACAAGGGCTGTAACTGAAAGGTAGCCTCTTATTATCATGTCTGGGGAGTCAATATATGAGAGCCAGAGGATCCACCTAGTGGAAGTAAGTAAACATAGGTTATTTTATTTTATTTTTTTATAAAGGCAAAGCCTTCAGTTTTTTCACTCTTGTTAAGTTAAAGATAAACAAGAATTACCTAACAAGCCTTTTCCATCTCTAATTTATGAGTCTCAGAAATTATCCACAGTAATGAATTAAGATGACGTATACACTCCAAATCACCCAACACCTCTCAGTCCTATTAAAGGCAAGGAGAGCTCCATGCATCTAGGATTTCCAGGCTTGAACCTATATTCCTCAGAACAAGGAATGAAAAGAAAACTACTGTCCACAACAACGGTTGATGTGAGGAATACATTAAAACCTAAAATGGTTCATTTAGGGCCCAGTTCTGTGAGGTGGCAAGTACCCTCAGCTCACTGAAGCCATGGAGATTTGAAAGTACTCAGCCTCTTAGGCCCTTAATAAATCCCCAGCTCTGTCTTGTAATGATCTGCCTCTGGCAAAGCTCTGGTACTCAATCTTCCATTAATATACTCCTTCAGCCACATGGATATGCTGGAAAAAATGTGTGGGCTGCTATCATTCAAACAAACAAACTAAACCATCAGATCAGAGACAGACACAGAGAAGTTTACATGCCAACTAGTAACAATAGTGATCAATGGGCATGGGTATTACACAGAAAAGCTCTTTACCACGTGAATTCCAGGGAGTGGGATGCAATGCTATAGGAAGGCATGGGATGATCTCTGGGGCTCAGGGCCTTATTCCAGAAGACTGGAATAGCCATAGAAAATGGTGCGGGAGAGTAGATATGCCATATTTCAAGCACCAGCTCTTTCCTGCCTTCTCGCACATACCTGCTGTTATCTCAATGACACATTCCAACCAGACATAGATCTCATTATGAAATATAACATACATATTTTTTTAAAAGGGGACCTGGAACCACAAATGACCATGCACCATGAGTTACAAAGAAACAGTTTCCTGAGGGTGAGGGGAAACAGAGTATCATTCCTAATACACTGATTTCATTTAAATTTGTCCCCTCGTCATGTTTTTGTGGATTTTTCAGATTTTTAATATCGCTTATTGTATAACATGAAATTCAAGCAGGTAACCTTGCCAAAAAGGACAGATACCTAGCTATACAATTTTGTAGTCCAAGACAAAAATGACCATCTGTTCCATTAATGATGCAGCTAGATTATATTGTACCATAAGGCTTTCTTTTTCATTCCAAAGAAGCTAACTAAAGGAAAGAAGATTAAAGAGCATCAAGGGCAACCCTGAGCAATCTGTGAAGAATTCTGATGAGACCAAGGCTCAGGATTGTTCCATTTCACCAAAGAATTTTTCCTTGCTTGTGACGGATTTTGCTTCATGACTTCTCTGACCGTATGGGTCATTTTCATACAGTGTAACGCTCTGTAGAAAGTTGAAAGTTGATATAGCCTTGGGTGTTAGTAATCATAAATACATAAAATACAGATGTTTCCCAGTGGCACTCTTTACAGACTCTCAAAACACCAAAACAAAAGCTCACTGTCCAGATGATCTTCCATCTTTTTTTTCCCCATGTTGACAGCTTTCTCCCTGAAAATGCCCATAACTCTATAGCAAAAACACTCAACAGTTTCATAGTTGTATCCATCTATTGAATGCATCTATTTTCTGCTGATATTTTTTCCCAGTTATTTACTCATAAGAAAGAAAAGTCATTGCATGGCTGTAAAAAATTTATCTCTAAGTTTCAGGGGACTAGATGACTCCAGAGACTTGTAAGGACAAAACTAACCTGGAAATCCTAAGGCACAACATTTATTCTCTTATCTTTATCATGATGATGATAATGAAAAAACGAATACAATTTTACTCACTAATCAAAAATATTACCCAATGCAAGTTATAATTGTTGTTAATATTAAGATATATTTAGAAAACATAACTTATGGGAAAAGGTTGAAAGAATTGGCATGTTTAGTCACAGAAGAGACGCTTAAGGGTGATGGGACAAAATATATAAAGTCTGTTGTAAAGAAGAGGAAGAACAATTGTTCTTCAGGTCCACTGAGGGTCAGAAAAGAAGTATTCAGCTTAGCTTGCAGCAAGGGAGATTTAATTTGGCTATTAGGGGGAAAAAAAACTTTCTAGCTATAAGGATAGTTAAACCTGGTACTGGTTACCTAGCGAGGTTGTGGAATTCCTATCATTAGAGTTTTTAAAGAACAGGATAGACAAGCATCTGTCAGGGATGGTCTAGGTATATTTAACCCTGCCTTAGCATAAGGGGAATGGACTAAATGACCTCTTGAGGTGCCTTCCAGCCCTACATTTCTATAATTCTATGATGGGACAGAATATATCTTTCACCTCTGTGTTACTGGTTCAAATCCAGCTAAGGGTGGTTAAAAAATTGTTACAAAATTAATTAGTTGATA